AAATAAACTCAACCACATGCTAAAGCACTAAACTAAACCCAACATGTCAGAACATCAACTATATATCGGTATGCGTCCCGAGGCTGCGACAGGCCAAGCAGCTGAAAACTCACGGTGGAATCTCGAAAGAGTTTCGATTCAGTTTAAAATTAGTCATGTTAACGACTTTAACGAGTGAAAATTAACGATACTATTACTCGTGAATGAAAATGAAGTGGATTACCTCAAGCACGTAATTCTATGATTCTCACTCCGAGTTCTTGGTTGTCTTTCAAGTCTTATTTAGGGTTCAGGGTCAAGTTTGCAGATTGAAAACGTCCTGTTCAGCTGAATTCAGTATTATTCACTCTCAGGTGTCGACATGCGACAGTCTTCTTCCACGCATTTGACTCAATGCAGGACAAAACCGCATTGTTACTAGGTGGGCAATCGACGTCATTCATGACCTTGTCACTTCCGCGTCACGCGTATCTTATGTCACGTGTTATGGGGTGCTCTTTGTCAAAACAGGTTGCGATGACCGTTGAATAACATTTATTTATTTTTTATTTTTTTCCCCAAAATCAGCAAACCAACCGAACGAAATGTTGCTTACCATTTGCAATTAGACTTCCCGTTATTGTTTTCTGCTGATGAGAGACTGGCAATTGGGGAATTCAGGAAATCGTAAGGAAATTTCCGCCGTTCCGTTCCGAATTGAAAAAGAGGACTACCTCTGGAGGCTCTATTCTGCAAATTCCGAAAATTACAGCTGTTCCATTTGACTTTCAACCGAAATTTCTGGTTTTTTTTTGCTAAATGGTAAGCACCCATGGTCATCGCAGTTCGGTGATTTTTCAAGAGCTAGGTAGATGAAGATTTCTGTTGAGCAAAACCTTTATCCGAAACCGGGTGTTAAATGGAAAAAAAAAAAATTGCTGCTCAAGTAATACTACCGATATTTGTTGTCCTCCATCAATTCTTTTCCTTTTAAGTTTACGGCAATTTCTTGACATAAGCAATGCAGTATATTCAAACTACCGTTGCAAACTTACGAATGCCGGTAAGCTCGGAGACTTGCCTTGACTGACCTGGAAGTGAGGAATAAGCTAACTGGCTTGGTTAGAAAATGTATGCAAAGGAAGCAGTTCAGTTTAAACCGATACCCCGGTTCGACTTTTTCATGCATTGTTCACGTAATATGTTTTCATTTACGGTCATGATTATCAAAAAACATCTCCTTGTGTAGGACAAGCTAAGGGTTAGCATTCATCTCCGCTCCCCTCCCCCTCCCTGTACTACGGATTAGTTGTGAGTTTGCTAGCTTACATTCGAGGGTTAAACCATGTGATGAAAGTTACCATGAAGTGTGTTCCACTGAATGAATAAATATGTGAAAAAAAATCAAGTAAAAGACTAAAAGATTTTATTTTCGTGGTTCATGCTAAATTTCTAGACTCCAGAAGATATCAGCTCTCTTCCTTCAGAGCGGAAAAAACATATTGCGCATCTTTCTGCGCATCCCTAAGCCTACTTGCGGGCTCGGGTAATAATGCAGGCTGCAATGGAATTGCTACTCGTATCAGCCATTACAGTTAACCGCCAAATTTTATCCGAATCTTATTGGTTTAAATTGATCACGTGACTCGATTGTTGTCATTGGCGGAGAGACACCAGGCTCTTTCCATTCAACCAAAAATCCCCAAAATTTTTCAACAGGGACAAATGGAATGGAAATTTCCTGAGAAAGTTTCTAGAAAATTCGGAAATTGTTGAATTTTCGTTAAGGTGGTATGGTACCCTAAAATGGACCAAAAAGTTTGTTTAAATATGGTGAAGAAAGATCAATTGTGTGCTATTGCACTCAAGGACAGAAATTAAATTTTAAAAATTTTTATGGAAACCAGCCACAGCCAGGAGGGAGGGGGTGACTCTATTGTTTTCCGGTATTGATTGGTGACCGACTCATCGCTACCAGTGTGACGTCACATAGCAACGAGTGAGCGCTTCGAGTAGCTTATTCAGA